GTGCAAGTCCTAAAGTAATATTTTAAAAAATCTAATTGACTACAAGACTACAAAAATTTATAATCAATTAAAATATTAATTAAGAAAATAGAATAAAAATTATTAAATTAGATTCAAATGATGTTTTAATATAAATAATAATTTTTAAATCTTGGTCAAATCTTTATTGTCTTATGTCTTATGGCTACATGATTAATGTTGTTAAAATGACTCTTTTTTCGTGAACAGCTCGTGTTCGGCTCGAAACGAGCCGAACACGAACACACTTTTTGAACTTGAAATATAAACGAGTCGAAAGCTCGCTTGTGTTCGGCTTATTTACACCCCTAATAAATATGAACTTCCTCCGATGCATCGTCACTGTTAACCGGTTCATCCAGTTGCAGCGTAGCGTCCTCAAGCCGAGCCACTAAAGGAAAATGCCGAATATACAGATCTAAGTGGGTACAATATAGTAAGCAATTGATTTGTCACCACGGTCGTCGTTACCGAAAGTAAAATGCTGAATTTGCAGATTTGAAAATCTGGTGTCTTAGATTCTGATTTGAACAGCCTCCGTGGCAGAATACCAATCAATAACCTTGGGGTTTATGACAGAAAAAAATATTATATGAGTGCTACGAACGTAGAGTAACGTGCGTAGTCAATGAAATCACGCCACGATATCCCGTGCGACAGAGAAAAAAAATGACGCAGTAACACGGAGAATATTCTCTCTCGTATTATTCATGTGTTATTGTGTGTTATTCATGTATTGTTGTGTCCTGGGAATATTCTTGGTGTTATAATAACACAATAACACATCAATAACACATGAATAACACACAAATATTCCCCCGTATTACTGCGCCGTTTTTTTCTCTGTCGGGAATATTCCCCGTATTATTCATGTGTTATTGTGTGTTGTGTTATTGTGTGTTATTCCTGGGAATATTCTTGGTGTTATAATAACACAATAACACATCAATAACACATGAATAACACACAAATATTCCCCCGTATTACTGCGCCGTTTTTTTCTCTGTCGGGAATATTCCCCGTATTATTCATGTGTTATTGTGTGTTATTCAGGTGTTATTGATATATTATTGTGTTATTATAACACTAAGAATATTCTCATGATACAATAACACATGAATAACACACACATGAGTAACACGCAGTAACACATGAATAACACAAGGGAGAATATTCCCCGTGTTACTACGCCTTTTTTTTTCTCTGTCGCGCGGGATATCGTAGAGTGATTTCATTGGCTACGCACGTTACTTCTACGTGCGTAGTACTGATGTATTATTTTTTCTTATGACAGAGGCCGCACCAATAAATCAGGTACTTCAAGTATATATATATATATACATAATTAAATCACTGTGAAATTAATGAAAGCATATATATATATATATATATATATATAATATCTTTTATGTGATGATAATTTTGGTGTTATAAATACAAAAAATAAATATTAGATATTAGATATTAGATATGTAACCCCATGAGAATTAGGTAGTATTTATGTAAATGCGAAAAAGAAATGAAAAGAAAAGAAAATAATAAAGTAAAAAATTACAAACATGAATTTTGATGTCTTTTAAAATTAAGGATTTTAAAGATCAAACTGAAGTTCATTTTTTAAGCATAATTTTGGCAAAGTTACGGTCAAACAAAACTAGTAGGCAAGACAAATTAGAAAATCCACCTATGATGCAATCCAAAAATAAATGTGCACAAATAAAACATTTGAATATAGTTGAAAGCTTATGATATTAATTAAATGATGAAATGTACTTAACATTTTACGAACTTATACTCAATTTGAATGTCTCAATGAGATGAATCTAACAAGCATAAGTTTACTTTATTTTAAGATCACTAAGGCATTTTATTTTAATCAAGAGAATCACTCAAAACAACTGATTTTAGTGTTTTAAAATTTGGTGATATCAACGAAGGATGTAACTTCTAAAATTTATAAATAGACTATTCTTTTTTTGCATAAAAAGAAATTTTAAAGTTAAGATGAAAAATGGGAAAGAGCTAAAAAATTTTGGAGGATCTTCGACAACTGCCACTATTGGTTAGTAGACTATCTCCATTGCGCTCCACAAGTCTAACCATTATCATTGCACCATTGTCATCAGGCTGTTGCTGCCCATCAACCACCCGCCCACTCGATCATCATTGTTAGACTAGTATCATCAATATAGTATAATAAAAAACAGTACCGCCTATCTATTGTGGTTGGATTGTCATCGCTTGTCCACTAATTTTGAGCGAACGTCACCCATCCATCATCATTGGATCATAACCATTGTCATGCCATTATATCCTTGGACTGTCCTTATCCAAGTACAACCGCCAAACCACCACTAATGACAGGCTATTATCACTTGAACACTATCACTTAACTGTTATTGCCTAAACACTATCTCTTGACTCTGATAGCTTGATCATAATTTCCCAACGATAACTATCAAACCATGGTTGCTAAATTACAATTACCATACCACAACCACCCATCTATAACTGCATAAACTCTGTCACTTAATTATAATCACTTGACTAAGGTTGTCCAACTATTGTCGCCCATCTACTCATTGATGCCTTGCTATAGTTGCTTACCTTTAAAACCTAATTATGGTTCTTCAACTACATTGCTCATCTATGGTCACTAGACATCCATCCTTCAACCTTGTTTATGGTCATTAATCATTATTGCCCGATTACAATCACTCAATTACCACATTTAATTATAATCGTCTGACCGCCATAACATTTAAACTTTTTCTGTCTATCATTGCTTATAAGATGGATGGACATCATCGACGTACACCATTGCTTATATCGTTGATTTATGCCATTTCTCAAAAGATCAATCTATGCCATCAACACGTGCTAACATCTGCTTGCCTTATCATCATTCATCACCAATAGCCTTGACATGCATTGTCTTGGATCGGGTTAAACCATGTCATCCTGCATTAATAATATAACAAAATTCATTATTTCTTGACATCTGCACTTAAATTTCTTTCAAGTAGAAGTAAATGTATAAAAAAATTGAAAAAATTGATTTTACACCTATTAAATTTATTTTAAAAAATATATAATGTAATTATATATTCTTGATCATGTAAAATAAATCAAAATTATGTAAATTATTTAAGAAATGATTAAAATAATTGCTGATAAAATTCAGTGAAAATTTTATTCTTTTTTAAAAATTATAATTATCATATTTTTTTATGTCTTAATATATTTAATATCTAAAATTTATAATTTATTTTTAGGACACCAAAATATTTAAAATAACATAAAATATATTACTGAAATTAGTTTGATTATAATATATATATATATATATATATATATATATATAAGTATAAAATATTACATAAATTTTATACGTCGATTTTTAGGAAACAAGATAAGTTATTTCTAGCCATAAAAGCCTATTGGCAACTATTATATAACAACACTTGCCCTGTTCTTGTCTTCCTTAGAGTTTGGGGTTTTGGTAGACGGGAGTCTCTCTCTCCATCTCTCTCTCTCTTGCTCGCTCGCTTTCTCGCCCCGAGCACTTTGTACGCCATGTCGCTGCTCTCGGATTTGATCAACCTCAACCTCTCTGATCACACGGAGAAGATTATCGCCGAGTATATTTGGTGCGTTTCCTTTCAGACTTATGTTTCTTTCTTCTTTTTATTGGAATGATTGATCTCTAGGGATTGTTTTTTTGGGGTGCGGGGTGTTTGTTATATAGATATTGTTGTTTTTTTCTTTTTCTTGACTGTTTCTGGCGATTCTATTTGTAGAATCCTTACTATGTCATCTCGTTGCTTTTAAGATTCATTTGGATGCCTTTAGATAGAAACGATCTTTGAAAAATGATGATTCTGTTTTGATTCATTTTGGTTATGTAGTCAAATTAATTAGTGTTTAAGAATTGAAGCCAATGTTGATCTTTGTACCGCTCAATCATGTATGATAGGACCTGTAAATTGTTTCATTTTTTATAACTTTTCTTATTTTCTTAAGCAGTCAAACGGGGAATTCTCTTGTTTGTTCTATTCAGAACTTGGAAATCTAGTTATTTTTAGTTTTTCATAGTTTTGGTTTATGGTTTTTCTTCCCCTGTTCTTCAGCTTCCCCTAATTTTTTTTTTTCGCTTTTTTGACTTCTTCTCGTTAGCCTTTGCTTGAATTCATCATGGAATTAACTGGCTGAAATAGTTAATTTCGTTGCTTTATATTGGTAATGGCTGTATGCTTTTTGTTCACATACTTGCATTTCTTCTTCGATTCACAGGATTGGTGGATCTGGTTTGGATATTAGGAGCAAAGCAAGGGTAGAATTTTTCATCCTTTTAATAGTATTCTGATCCGTTTGCTCCTTGCCCTTGTTTTTCTTCGCATGTTTCACGCATATTCTTGATCTATGAATTATTTCATGCGACAGACCCTTCCAGGTCCAGTTAAGCATGCTAGTGAGATACCGAAATGGAACTATGATGGCTCGAGCACCGGCCAAGCCCCTGGGGAGGATAGTGAAGTGATTTTGTAGTATGTCTTTCATCTTTCCTTATCTTCGTTCAAGATTTTGTAATATTTTTGTGCAATTTTTGTAAGAGACGTGCATCATTTGTGCAATCTTGTATGATATAATATCTTCTTCGAAATTGGCAGCCCCCAGGCTATCTTTAAGGATCCATTCAGGAGGGGAAACAACATTCTTGTAAGTTCTTTTTTCCTGTTCATCTTCTTTTTCAATCCGTGAGCTACTGTTAGTTTGGATTTCATCCTGCCATAGTCAGCTAGACTTAACAACTGCTACGGGATGCTGCTCATGTAATGCTTTTTTAGATTTTATGATCTACGATTGACTCCATTATTTACTGTGAAATTATTATTACCTAAACTTATTGAAATTTTTATTCTGCTAAATATCTCGGAAGGGTTTTTTTTTTTCTTATATTAGAAGGAAATTTCAGAGAAATCAAACTAGTCTTGATCATGGGTGATCATCTGAAACCAAGATTTGACCTTTTCTTTTTTTTCCAAATTAATTTTGAAATACCAACCTGTCCTAACCATATGAACAATCTGTAAAAGCCATCATCATCTTTCAACTCAATTTATTTTTATTTTCTTAGTAATGTTATTGGTTTTCATCTTTGTTTGATGTGTTGTTTTGATGTACATGTAGGTCATATGCGACTGTTACACACCGGCTGGAGAGCCAATCCCCACCAACAAAAGATTTAATGCGGCTAAAATTTTTAGCCACCCTGATGTAGTTGCTGAAGAACCTTGGTAGAAATATTAGTTATTTAATTTTGTTTAAGTTATTATTTACCATCTCTTTCTTGCTCAGTAATGGTTTGAATTCATTTCCTTTTGTTGAAATATTCAAATTTCTAGGTATGGAATTGAGCAGGAGTACACCCTCCTGCAAAAAGATGTCAAGTGGCCGATTGGGTGGCCGGTGGGGGGCTTTCCTGGTCCTCAGGTGCAAACTTATATTTTTATTTACGTCTGCTAAATATGGGTTGAAAAAATTTCATTTTGAAGCATGATTTGACCTTATTCCATCTTTGAAATAATACTATTGTCTTGGCAGGTTATCTATCTTCATATTAGTTCTTAGATTTTCATATTCCTCTCAAACACAATTTTTTAATTTTTTCATGAATCTTTTGAGTGCCTTCTACTTCCAAAAAAGACATTACTTATGTGAAAGCGAATTTAAACTGCAAATTGATATAGATATTTGTTTATTGTGGCTTTGTTCCCTTTCAGCTGATATTTCCATATAATGTGAATCTTGTGACAGGGTCCCTACTACTGTTCAGCTGGTGCTGACAAATCTTTTGGCCGTGACATTGTTGATGCACATTACAAAGCTTGTTTGTATGCTGGAATCAACATCAGTGGCATTAATGGAGAGGTCATGCCTGGTCAGGTAACCAATTTAATTCTTCTGTTATTTTCCTCAAACTTTATAAAAACTTTCTTCTTTCTTCTGTTATTTGATAATAAAATATGCTATTTTCATAGTGGGAATTTCAAGTTGGCCCTTCTGTTGGCATTTCCGCTGGTGATCAGTTGTGGGCTGCTCGTTACATTCTGGAGGTAAATACAAAAATTCTAACTACGTTTCTTCTGTATTTCTTATTTATATTTACAAACATAAATTTAGGCATGCAACCTATTATCACCTTGTTTACTATTTTTGCTTATTTCTGTAAAACAGAGGATCACCGAAATTGCTGGTGTGGTACTTTCATTAGACCCGAAGCCTATTCAGGTTGGAAATTGCTGATTTTTTGCTTGTTTAACAGAGACTATAAAGCTGTTTTCAATCATAAATGAAATAAATTTCCTTTTGTTTTTCCATATGAAGACTATTTTTCTAATTATAGTTGTGCTTCAGGGAGACTGGAATGGCGCTGGCGCACACACTAACTACAGGTAAGATTGTAATGGATAATTTGTTTCTAAATTGTTTCTTGGAATTTATTGTACTGCTCTTCTGTTGCTTTCATTTATTTCCATAATCCTGAAATTTAGTTTATTTGCTGTATTTAAAAATTTTCAGCACCAAATCAATGAGGGCAGATGGAGGTTATGAAATCATAAAGAAGGCAATAGAAAAACTTCGCCTCCGACATAAGGAGCAGCATAAAGAGCATATTTCTTCTTATGGTGAAGGCAATGAACGTCGCTTAACTGGAAGGCATGAGACTGCTGACATCAACACTTTCTCTTGGGTATGCAATATGAGGAATCTGAAGAAATTTCTTATTTGATCATCTTATATGTAATTCAATCTTTTGTGATTTTTATCTATTAATTTGCAAATGTCATCACTTATAGGGTGTTGCAAACCGCGGAGCTTCAGTTCGTGTTGGTCGTGACACTGAAAAGAATGGCAAAGGTAAAGCTTAATTGTTGCATTGAAGTTAATTAAGGGGCCTTTTGAGATAATTTTTGTTTTTATTTTTCATTTCTATTTTTATTTTATTTTGTTTACATTTTTGGTTTAAATTAAAATATATTTGATTGAGGTGGTTGTTTTTAAGAACAATCAAAATATCTTTAAGCGTTTTGAATATTTTTTAAAAACAAGTTGATTTATTTCTAAAAATAATAAACAAAAACATCTGAAATTTCTACAAACCAAACATATTTTTGAAATCAAAAGAAAAAATAAAAATATAAATAGAAAATAAAAGTGATGTCGAATGGGGCCCTATATGTAAGGTTTAGACACAAAGGCTATTGTTTTTTGATTCAGGTTATTTCGAAGATCGGAGGCCGGCATCGAATATGGATCCCTACATCGTGACATCCATGATTGCGGAGACCACAATCCCCTTGAAACCAACTTAAGAAGAATTTATTTCCACGCTTTGCTTTCCGTGATTCAGATATCTGTGGCATTGATTAAAGATTACATGTTCTCAGCTCTTTCTGGTTTGATCTTATGTTGGGTTTAGTTTTTTCTTTGTACTATTTGGAGCTCACCAAGTTTGTTGTTCCTGCATTGCTGTTTGCTTTCTTATGATATGAAAACTGATTACAGTGTCTGTAGTTTGGGTGATATTTATCATGTTAAGAATCCATTTGTTCCAGTATAATTTATTATTTCCAATCTCTTCTGATTACTATGAATAGTCTACTTCAAAAAAGATGACAACAAATTGAATTTTTTAGTGTCTTTTTTTTTTTATTTTGTGGCAACATTTGAAATCTCATTGATATTCTTTACTTTATTTTTAACCTGCCCCGCTAAGTAAAGCCACAATATGGTGCCCAATTGGGTTCCCAAAGTTTATGAATAAATTAATTATATTGTATATTTTCAATGTGGCTCACATGCATCCACCCACAACCATTTCAACATGTTCAACTATTCCTCACATCAAAAGTCTGCCTTTGTTTTTAAATGATTTTTAATGATATATCTGTTTATATGCAATATTACAAAAATGATTCTGCCTGGTCTCCAACTTCTTATAATATGTCATACAAATGAAATTGTCACATCTTTTATGATATGCAATTTAAAAATAATATTTGACACGTTCATGTATATGTTTGGTAGTTAAATATTGAGCATTTCTAGTTATTATTGGAGTCAATCGATTGAATTTTTTTTTTTTTTTTAATATAGAAAATTTTTTGGAAAAAATTTTTTGGAAAGTTTACATACATACCAATACCACTCAATTCCAATGTATGTACATATTTAACATTTATACTTGAATTCTTACCTGCCTGCAACTCTGCAAGGCCCTGGCCTTTTGGGGGCTAAAACAAGATGCAATTATAAAAATTAAAACGTTATTAAAACGATAAATTTACATTTCGGAAACTTTCACACAAGCTCCTGTGAGAAAACATAGCAAACTAGATATGAGGAAAGAAAACTAAGCACACTTTACAACAAACAAATGAATTTTATAAAAGGGCTTTTGCATATTCAGCACTCTAAACATAACTTTTTGCCCGTTTCACGTACAAAACTTAAATTTTACATATTTCATGCCCTTAAATAGACCCATTATCTCAGATCTCTTCTCCATTTTCACAACCATTGGCTGGTTGTCGCCCCTCCTCCACGGGCGACCCTTTCCATCCCAACACCTTGACGCAATTCTTCCGCACAGACTGCCACTTCCTCTCTGTAACTTTAAAAAAAACCGAAAGTGCTTCAGCCTTGCTCCTCTCCATCTTGCCGGTCAACTGAAACCATCCCATCGACCAAGCTCCTGCAGCAGTTTGTCCGCTCACGAAGTGGAATTGAGCTTTTTATTTAATGTGCGACTGCCCAAACCGGCCCAGTTCTTCGGAAAAACGCGTTTTGTCTTGTTCCCGCCTTAATCTGTCTGGTTTTTTATTTGCAATTCGGGAAGCTAGGGTAAGCTAGGGTTTGTGATGGATGTCTCTATCTACGGAGAAATATTGATGATGAATTCTGAAAATAATAAAAGGAGTTTGAAACGGAGGTGAGTTTAGTTGCGGCTGTAATGTTGTCATTATCGTAAAGGCGTTATTGTGGTGCTACAACATCATTTCTGCGGTATTATTTAGGTGTTTATGATGCGTTATGTTAGTTTTATTATTGTATTACTGTGATGCTATTGTAATGTTATTTTGATGTTATTCTGACATTATTCTTGTAGTATTTTGGTGTTATAGTAGGATTACGAAGTGTTGGTGGAATGTTTTGTTTTATTAAGATTGTAATATTCAGTTGGTGTTATTTCCATATATAATCATGTTTTAAATATTATGCAAATTTGCAGTTCTGTGAGTCTGAAAATGTTTGCAATGATCCAATTGCATACAGTTTTTTACGCACCATTGTTCATAATGAACAAAAAACATATGAATATTACTGTGTCTATGCTCATCATATTGGATTCACTGTCAGAAAAGTTTATAGCAGTTTTTGACCGAACTCGAAGAAAATTAAGACGAAAGGCTTTATATGTGGAAAAGCTGGTCACAAGAAAGAGTTGAAGTTCACGAATACGGTGAAGTTCAAAAATGTGGGCAGGCTCACTTTGGCTAATATGGCTCCACCGGACCAATGGGTGATGCCCGTGCAAGTCCTATGTAACCAAAAATGAGGTCAACATTGATCAATTTTCCTTTTTTCCTCACAAAAAATGGATGTGTCAGCACTATTTTGGCTTGTGGAGTTCCCCGTAAGAAGTTGTCGGTCACCGGAATCGAAATCTCGTCGTCCGCTTCGGGAGGACATTTAAGTTTAGAAAAATATGAAATCAAACCAACCTCATATTTTTCATAGTTTAAATGAAAGAGTTATACCTCAAACTTTATATCTATCCCGAAAGATAAACACAAGACTTAAGGATGAGAGGATGAGGCTCGATCAAATAAATTGAAAAATATATGACATTTGTTTGGTCTGCGAAACCGTTTTATTTGCTGACAATTTCCCCTATTTAATATGAAGAATTAAATAGGGTTTATATTAAGCTGGGTTCGGAAAAGTTTTCTATAAGGGCAAGTCCCCATAGTTAATTACATCTTAAATGACCAAAGCCATCTAAGAAAACTTTCGACAAAATCAGGAAATATTACCTTTAATGATTTCAAAAAGATAGGACTGTTCAACGAGATCGAACAGAGAGGTGTGAAATGGGATTGGCTCAAGTTTGAAGCATTTTCTTTTTTGAATCCAAAGGAGGAAGGACTAGGGGATGACATAGATCCAGATGAGAACCTCAGTGACTTCTCAAGCTATCCTATTGTTTGGCTTCAATTTTGAGGAGAAATATTTAGGTGTTTCATCCTGTCAATTTTATTAATATAGGACTTACATTCATGTGAAATAATCACACAAATGGCCTGAAAGATGTGTGGGTTTAGGTCGCGACGAACGAAATCCTTGAAATCTTAAGCGAGTTAGGGCTTATATTATACAGTAGAGCTGTACAAAGGCCTACAGATGAGTTGAGGATTTACGTTGCACTAGACAGACAACCTCGAAATCCTATGGCTTGTTATTTAATTCTAAGGAAGGAATGATTCAGCTGGTGTAGACATGTTCTGCTGTTGAAGATGGTCGTGCTTCCCACCATGCTAGCTCCAAGCTCCTTGCCGTGACGAGTTTGAGTTTTCTAAGGTGTCAAGTTATGATGTCAAATCAAGTGGCTCTATGGTTGTAGTTCTTTAAATTTTATGGGGGATGTTAAAGTTGATTAGAGCGACACCGATTAGGATCCTACGATTCCCTCATTCCGGTTTCTATTAGATTCACTTAGTCCAAATAAATTTATAAAGCTCAACTTAATGAGTTCCTTTCTTTCATTTAGACAATGGGAAGCCTCGTTAGCAACCATATGTTACCTCCTCTGAGGGATTCTCAATCATCTGATAGAGACGTCTTATTTTAGTTGTAGTTGTGGTTTTTGTGATGTTTCTGATTAAATTTTGAGTTTTCTTATATTATGAACGTTGTGGAGGTGATTTTTATCTTGGTTGATTTTAGATTTTGGTTTTGGTTTTGGTTTTGTGGCTATCCTGATAGTTTTAGTTATCATGCAGGGTGACATTGTTGTTTAGCATGCAAGTTTGTGTTTTGTTCATACATGCAGGTAAGTAAGCACAATGTGGAAAGCTTAAGAAAAGACAATGTTGTAAACTATAAAAGCGTACCTAGCGAGTTTTCTCGTTCCACCACCTGAAACTCAAAATGTATGTTAGAACATTTTATATAAAGCGGAAAAAGTAAGGTTTTGGCGACCTACCTAACCTTAGGTCATATCTTGGTGGGTCCCTATTAGTTTGATTAAGGATGATTTTTGTCAAGCAAAGCATATTAACTTTTGTAGACCTCTGAGATATCCAACAGGTCTGGAGAAAGAAGCAGGTCCATGCTTCCCTCTCACTGCCTGGTGAAAAGTCTCGAGCTCATTTAAACTTATTATGTTGCTTAATAAATCCACTCTATAAAAATACTCATAATGCTCAGTGAACATTGATGTTTCAATTATCCCTATGAGTAGGGTAATTATCATTTGTGATTTAATTTGTAAATTATGTGGGTGAAGACCCTTAAAAGGGGCAAGTTAATGTTATCAAGGCACTCAGCCAACTTTCTAATTTGGGTTTGTAGTGTTCCAAAGTTGTTTTAATCTTAGCTATGTCCACTTTTTTTAATCCTTATTTAATCAAATTTGATTTAGCTTAGGACACAACTAAGCCCTTAAGATTTGTGATGATGATTCATTTTTTAAAGTCATTTGAACATCAAATAGGGGTATTAAATTAATGAGTTATCAACACCCAAAACTATACCCCTAAGTCTAGGATCATTTATTTGACTAGACTTCCAAATTTTAGTAATTTAAAGAAATTACAAATTTATTCTTTAATTAACAAAAGTGAGATTGGTTTCTACCAATTAATCCCTCTTTTGGTTTCAATCATCCAAATGAATTAGTTATATACCCCTAACTCTAGGATCATTTTTTTGACTAGACTTCCAAATTTTAATAATTTAAGGAAATTACAAATTTATCCTTTAATTAACAAAAGTGAGATTGGTTTCTACCAATTAATTCCCCTTTCGGTTTCAATCATCCAAATGAATTAGTTAAAATCAGAGGTTACCCTTTTCCCTTTTTGAATTAAGCCTAAATGTTAATTAAGGCTAAACTTCCAAAATTACACTTTTGCCCCTAAGGCTCTATCACTTTATAATTTGTCAAATTTAATTCAAATGACTTTGAAATTTTTATCTTACCTTACT